AAAAAATGGGTCCTGTTTGATTTACTCATTAGTATTATAATTATATAATCGTGCCAATGATTGAAGATGGGTCGTGGGAACACAGAATTGTAAAGGGATAGGCTCGCCTTCGTTTAAAAAAAGGGAAATTTAAAAGTAAGTAATTTATTGACACGATCTTTATCTCATGTTTTAAACTGAAGGGTCCAGGGGTGTCGAAGTGTGCATACACACACTTAGTGAACTTGTGAAGGATCGTGATTTGGCGAAACTTTGATTTCACGCTAATGTAGACTGGAGAACGAAGTGAAAAATGTTCTCTTCCAAGGCGTTGGCTATTTTTGATTTAAGGTGTGCTATTTAAGCGTCGGGAGGATTAAATGAAGCATTGTCTTTTTGTAGACCAGATATTTTTATTGCCCATGTTCATTTCGAGGAGATGCTCAATGTGCATTGCAGTAAAGAAAAACTCAAGGTAGACACATGCAAAATCGGAAAATAATTTTTTTAAACAACAGCAAAGAAACTACTAACAATTGCACACTTTTCGAAATTCTATAGGGTGGTAAAAAATTCGTGGCGCAACTTACCCTCAAAATATATCTTTAATAGGTGAATCAAGGTCACCCTCACTTTGCACAACAGATTGTTTCAATTTCTTTTAACTTAATCATATTATTTTTCCACAATAATTGAGGCTAGATTTAAACACTTTTCTTCATAAATTTGCATAAAATACTATAAATCTCCGACACACGAAAAATGGGATGGTTCACAACACTTACTCCTTCACACACACACATTTTGCAAACGCAAATGGCCTTCTTCACAGATTACCAATGACACTTTTTAGTGGCAAAACGTGTTACAAGAAATTATTTATATAGAGAACACATTTTTACACTAAAGGTTATCAAAATATACGTTCAATAAGCATAATGTCGTGATCACAACAAAATGACAGACTTGCTTTTATAAGTGATATTGCCTCAGCTGTAAAACGTTTAAAATCCGTAGAAACCACCAACGTGGATTTTTAATTAGTATTAACTAAGGAATGTTCTAGAAGAAACTAAATTATATATATACTTATATATAGATATATATAGATATATACTTATATATATATATATATATATATATATATATATATATATATATATATATATATATATATATATATATATATGATTAATATAATAATATAATGTGTGTTTATGTGTGTGTATGCGTGTGTATGCGTGTGTATGTGGTTTCTTTTGCGTCTATTTTATACAGATATCAATATACATCAAAGTGAATCTGTATAATGAGATGTAAAAGTCTTTTTTTTTTTAGAATACCCGAATGAATTCGATTCAGCAGTCAATTTTTGCAATTGCAGAATCATTCGACTGGGAGCACAGTGAGCGATCCCTGAAAGTTACCATGGCTACAAACAGCGGCCAACTATCCCTGGAAGATGTCGACAGAATCACTTCCATTGGACAGGTAAGCTAAGAACAGTTTATTTAACAATATTTGATTTCTCGCGGGTTAGACTATTTAGTGGGCTGACTTAGGCCAGCAGTCCCATTACCCACTGCAAATTTTAGTAGGAAGAAACCACTTGGCATGTAGGTACCTTACACCATATCATTGGAAAATAGAAACGGACACAAGGTCCACAAGCATTTTCAGGCCCTCATTTGCATAAATTAAAAATGGCCGCCACTGAAATATAATGAAAATGATAACTGGATATAACTTTTGACAGACAAATGGTAGAACATTAATTTTGGTGTTGTGTTGTTTCATATAAATATATGGCTGACAAACTCAATGACACCATCAAAGTTATAATAAAAGGTCAAATTCACTCCTAACTTGCATAAATTAAAAATGGCCGCCACTGAAATATAATGAAAATGATAACTGTATATAACTTTTGACAGACAAATTGTAAAACATTAATTTTGGTGTTGTTTCAAATAAATATATGGCTGACAAACTCAATGACACCATCAAAGTTATAATAAAAGGTCAAATTCACTCCTAATTTGCATAAATTAAAAATGGCCGCCACTGAAATATAATGAAAATGATAACTGGTTATAACTTTTGACAGACAAATGGTAGAACATTAATTTTGGTGTTGTTTCATATAAATATATGGCTGGCAAACTCAATGACACTATCAAAGTTATAATAAAAGGTCAAATTTACTCTTAACCTGCATAAATGAATAATGGCCGCCAGTGAAGTATAATGAAAATACGAACCGAATATATAACTTTTGACAGAAGAAAGATAGAAATATAAATGTGTTGTTTCATAGTAAGTTCTGGCTGACAAACTCAATGACCCCCAAAGAATTATCATAAAAGGTCAAATTGATTCTTAATTTGCATACATTAAAAATGGGCGCCTTGAAAATTAAAAAAAAAATTTCACACCAGCTTTGCAACATTTGCATGGAGGCTTGCACCCTTTCTTGCACTGACATGTCACAAGGCATTTGTGGTTCTTTGTAATAGGGGCAAGTGTTGTCCATCGAGGTAACCACTTGTCATTTGTCATGACCCATCCCCATTCATATGAGTCAGGCAAGGTTGGAGAACAGATGAGGGCTTGGCCTCAGATGTGGCCTGCCTGATATGCTGCGTGTAATGTGAGTTATAGCAATGCATCCTTAGTAGGTGGCAAGTTCTCAAAATGCCTGCCTTTGTTGTAGAACAATTCCATGCGTGCTGCATTGACTGATGTGATGTCCAAGGACCTGTCGTAAAGGCGAACGATGAATGTCTCTACTTAGGACATGACATCATCATCGATTCTACTTGGGAATGTTGACAGGCGCTGAAGTGCTGCAGTGAGCTCTGGGAATTCCTGCCAAACAGCCCATTCTGTTCTCTTGCCTTTTCCTTGAATGCTGAGGTGGTGTCACAGCCGGTCAGAGAATGAAATGCTAGAAGAGCTCGAGACTTGGATGGTCCCAACTACATAGCAATCTGGTGAACTGGGATATGTCTGTATGATTTGCCGGATCCAAAGGCTTAACACGAATGGTGATGTGTTTAAATCTTTCATGTGTCGCATCTGCAACATGGAAAAAATAATTGAATAATCTTCCTCGTGAATACAAGGTGCTAAAGCGCGAGTACTTGAGCGAACAGGTGAAGTGAGAACATTTTCTCCGAAGGTTGTAACAACTTGCTTGCCCTCTGTGTACATCTCTTGCATTTTCTCTGCTAACAGAGAAAACAGTTCTGTTTTGTTCTCATCGACCCGTAAAAATCCTTGCCAGTTGCTCGCTACTTTAGTTGATGATGTCACTCGACACCGCATGCCACTGCCTCTGGTTTCCCGAGTGCTGGATTTGAGACTATCGTTTTTGTAGGCATCCCACGACACACCCTTTAGCCATGACATCACAATAAGGAAGAAACACCTGGTCTGCATAGTCCTGAAATGTTGATGCTGTACCAGGTCTCAGTGATTGCACGATGAAGGCTCCATCTAGAATAACAACATCAGAATTAGGGGAAGTATCAGAAGTAGAATCTTAATATCACCTTCGAGGCACTTGAGAATTTCAGATTTTGTTCCTTTGTGCATCTGACCCTGGGAACTGAGAGATGGTGGTAATGTAGTGTTCTCATGCGCAAACATTTCTTCACCAATGTCCCTTCCGGAGTGCGCGGAGAGCATCATTTAAATAAATTGAGTTCGTTCTTCCTTCATGGAAGCAGGGTCGGATTTTTCTTTACGTTGTTGAGCTTTTACACCGAAAGGAGACAATCTATTCAGGTGAAAGGTGGAGGTCCATGGGGATGTGCTGGATGAAACCCTTTCTGAAAAGAATGTATCATACTTGTCTTTTCCATTTTTTTGTGATGTTTCTCACAGAGCTCATAACATAACCTGTCATGATTCTGGACCTGTCAAGAGAAATCAATTGCCCAGATACTTCATGGAAAGGACTTCCCACATCAGAGAATGCACTGATTAAGCCATTCCCATCTTCTCTGAAAGTCTCTCAACATTTAGGATACTGTTCATGGTGCTTCATGTGACTGTTTTGAGGTGTGTTTTCGAATTCCTCAATGATGCGAGCTAGTTCTGGTCCAGTAATCATAAATCTTTGAAGGGCTACAGGATCCTCAGTCAGTCCAATTATTCCTCCATCACCCTTCAGAGAATCGATGAGCTGCTCATGAATTTGGTCCAAGTCAATGCTAGAAAATGCACGACTTGTCTTCTGTCCTACGAATTTTCCCTTCATGAACTTTTTATGAACTGTTGGATGTATTTTTCGAAGGCCACACATATCTCGTAGATGAATGGGTAGATTGCGGACATAGTGTTTGTGATCAAGAGCATACACCCATGGCATGAGATGTTCTAAAGTCACTAAGTACAGATCAAACGATGCAGTCCGAATCAACTTCACAAACTACAGAACCATCAGCTGCAGTTAAAGAGTCTGGTGCCAGTACAAGAATTGCGGTTCTCGGTCTCGCTGATACCTAATCCAAGCATCCAGTTCCAATGGCTCATCTTCAATAGTTGTTGTCAGATATTCACGATGGGCTTGTCTCAGTAAACTATACAAAGCAAGAGCGGTGACTTGGTGCATGTAGCGAGTGCGGGTCAGATGTGTCACCAACATCATAGAATCAGCAACTCCACTTGAAGCCACACCACTAACTGACAGTCGTGATGTCCATCCACTCCATTCCAGCCACTCCCCTAGGCCGTTCAAACAGCATTTTCTCCATGTGCAGTGCCCCAAGCATCACCACAAACTTGTCCTCTCCTAAGACATTTGAAAATTTCCACGGAATCTTCTTTGCCAATGTAAAGAGTGGCTGATCAGCAACCATGACCGGGGTCTGTCCAGAATTCAGTTGCTTTGTAACAGCAGCATCAATGTTCATCCCATGGGATACCATCATTGGACTGTGAGCTGATTCCCTAAAAAGGGGAAGCACCATCAATGGGGTGACTGGTGAAAACGGAGGTCCAAGCTTGTCAATTTGAAATATGCAAAATATATATACTTCATAATCACATCATGTGACTAACATATTGAATAAATAAAAAACCGGAGGTTCTACATCCAAAATTTTGATTTCAATGGTTAAGGCATCCACAAAAACATATATTTTGACACCATTTTCATGAAAATCGAAGATGTGTATGATAATTTAGAGTTATTTTAATTTTGCTTGATTTTTCAATGGCGTCCATTTTTAATTTATGCAAATTAGAGTGAAATTATGCAGATAGAGCTTGTGTCCGTTTATCAAAATTCTTAGTTTTGTTCAAGGTACGTGTGTGCCAAGTGGCATGTTCCTACTAAAATTTGCAGTGGGGGTGGAGTTAGGGAGCCCACTAATTTTATTTGTGGAGCAACGAACATAAAACGTTTTTTTTCCTCCTCCTCCTCCTCCTCCTCCTCCTCCTCCTCCTCCTCCTCCTTCTTCTTCTTCTTCTTCTTCTTCTTCTTCTTCTTCTTCTTCTTCTTCTTCTTCTTCTTCTTCTTCTTCTTCTTCTTCTTCTTCTTCTTCTTCTTCTTCTTCTTCTTCTTCTTCTTCTTCTTCTTCTTCTTCTTCTTCTTCTTCTTCTTCTTCTTCTTCTTCTTCTTCTTAGTTGTATCATTAGTATTATTATTATCAACCTCCATTATCATTACTGTTTTTTTCCTAATCATAATTGAGTTGTTTTTTTATTTGAAGGCGTGTAAGTGGATTGACAAACTTGGCATCAGCAATACAGAACGCAATCTGGATATTGAGCGGGCTAAACTGATGATCAAAAACCACATACAGAATTCTCGAGGGTCTGCTCCCACACAAAGGAAGGTAAGGCCAAAATGTGTCAGGTAGAAATAGCATACAACCAGCTTTACCCGTACTCAAAATTACTTGTTTCGATAATTTATGTTTTTGAAGTATTCTTTTCAGGCATAGATTTTAACTGTTGGTTATAAAATCCTTGATGTGAATACTTCTATTAGTTATTTTCGTGTGTATTTTATCTGAACATAATAAAACGTGAATTGCACAATCAAATAAATGTTTACATGGAATATAGCAAATAAGAGTAGAAACCATGGCTTCGCCTTTCTCACTTCCCTACCCTCTCTCTATTCTCCATCCCGCTTCTCTCTCTCTTTCTCTCTCTCTCTCTTCCTCTCTCTCTCTCTCTCTCTCTCTCTCTCTCTTTCTCTCTCAATGTCTATGTCTCTGTCTCTGTCTCTATATCTCTGTCTCTGTCTCTCTCTGTCTCTGTCTCTGTCTCTCTCTCTCTCTGTCTCTATCTCTGTCTCTCTCTTTCTCTCTCTCTCACCCACCTCTCTCTTTTATCCTCTCCCATTTACCTCTCGACCCACTCTCTTACCACTTCCCCCATCTCACTTTGTGTTCCCCCTCTCCCTTTCCACTCCATCCTGTATTCCTGTATCCCCCCCACCCCACACCACTCTTTCTCCGAATCTCCCTCCACCTCACCCAGGCTCCACCTATGGCTGACCGAGACACAACCACTGCAGCTATGAAAGAAGACTTAAACTTGAGGCAAAAGCTCAAGGGTATATACAAGGAAGCCCAGTCCTATGCGAAATCATTGCCTGACATTTTCAAAGTAAGTTTTTGAACACAATAATATTGTCTGAACATCCGTTTGCTTTTACCTGTAAACCTTATATATTATATAT